ACGAAAATGAAGACGGTGGTGACGAATACGGTGGACCATAATACTCACGGTGGTTGTGAACGACGATGGCTAGTGAACAAAAACGAAGACGGTTGCAGATGGTGGTGTACAAAAACATTGACGGTGGTGTACAGAGATATTGACAGTGGTTGTGGACAAAAATAACGACGACTATTGATAAACAAAAAGTAAACAAAACAAAGATGGTAGTAGAAAAAACAGAAATAATGGTGGACAATAACAAAGTTTTGATAAATTAGAAATAATGACATAACTGTCTTTTTCTCTTCAGTGTACAGTGTTTATGGTAGATTTTAAAAGATTTTTGCAATTGTGGTAGATTGTAAAAAATATTTTTGAATAAGTGGTATATTAGATAATTTTTCCTTTTTGGTTTTTGTTTTATGAGTAAGATGATCTAAAACACATGAGAAAAACGAAAAAAGTACATCTTTTATTTAAATACGAGATACAGTTTGATTAATATTTTATTTATTTCGTAAATACTATCTTCCTAAAATTTCATACATATTAAAATGTTGGCAAAAAGATTAAGTATCAAAAATATCTCTAATATCATTGATCGCTTTTAAGTAGAATATTATAATATTTTTAGTAGTTAATTATCTTTTAAAGAAAGATGAAACTAAAAATTTCGTATTTAAAACATAAACCATCATATGAAACGATTCTTATTTTAAAGCCAAATGAATAAGTACGGGACAATAATAAACTGTCCAAGTACGTAATTATTTATAGGCCAAAGCTCTTGACTCTTGAAGTCTTGAGTGTGGAGTGTACAATAAAAATACACAGAAAACTTGTGGCTCCGGACGATAAGTTACATGAGAGAACACATGCATATTTAAGATTCGCAATAATTAGAAAGAGAAGTCTAATAAAACTGATAATTGATAATCATTACATGAGTATTTATCAATTACAAATACTATTTCTTCACGCACACATGTACACATATATAGCGATGTTGTTTAATATGTATAGATTCTTATACATACTATTACGTTGGATAGTATGCATCGGAATGGTTATCAATTTTTGTAATCATGAAGTTTTGTCAAGTTGCCCACTAAGTTCCAATGGATGTTTTCATGACATCAAATGTGAAGCTTTGTCAATGAAAAATGTCGAAAAGAACAAACATTTTCTTTCAATATTCTGATGTGTCCCCACAGATTTTATGTTTTTTCACACCCATCATGATCATTACAAAAGATAGAACAAGTGTGAAAAATGTAATGCTAGAAGACGAGTGATGTTCGTACAATGGTAATTCTCTCTAAGCTCACTTTCGAGTCCGGATTATGAAGTAGAAAGGAAAAAATTATATATATTTTTTTTAATAACCGTGGAGATCACAAAGATTTTCGAGGTCCAAAGACTAATCCCACAAGACTTTGCATCTGGATACGCGTTCGAAAATATTCCAAATTTAAACCGCGGCTAGGTGGTCAAGTCGACTCGAACCCATGACTCTCCCACTTGAGAGTTACCATTGGACCATGGCGACTTGGTTTATTTCCTTCGTATCCTATAGTCATTTTATTCAGCTTCTCAAAATCAATATATAAACCGAAACCAAATCATAGCTATTTGCCTATTTTTGTTTTATTTTGCCAAGAATTGGCTCATACCAAACCAAATCAATGCAAGTATGATCGTCTCAAACTCCTCGAAATTTAAAAAAAAGGTACGAAGTGCTTGGGCTAAAAATAGATGGTTCAGTATTTCATGCAATTTCGATAATGAGTATTTTATTTATTTAATAACTTCTAAAGGACACTGATTCAATATTAATATGTAGGGACTGTTTGATTTTGTAGGGTTGGGATATTGGAATGCTAGCTAGTTTCCGGGGTTTGAATGTTTGATCATTTTCGGATCTAAATTTTTTTAATAAGTTTGGACATTTAAAAATTCGCTCCATTATATATTTATTTCAGACGTTAAAATAACAG